AGTCAGTAATTCATTGGCTTTTGGTTTGCAATCATTTGTGACAATGATTTCAATTAGCGTTTAATTATTTGCAATCAATTATACACTCAATTGGTCTGTGAATTAGTGATGCAATACTATTGTCACCATTGGATGTGATGTGAAGGACAGCCACACGCGAAGACATTGCCACACAAAACGATGGGACAGATCCTGAAGCTAATGGCCGACCAATTGGTGTATTTTGACTACAATTACGTTAATTATAATGATTTGAATCACAATTTCAATCATAACTACAATAATAACAGTAATAATCAGAAAATGCATAGAAATTCAAATGATTTGAACGAAACCAATGGTAAGCGTTGTTTGCCTTAAGTATTGTCTTTTAATCTCACCATTAATTGTCTTTTTTAATGGATTTTGTGGCCATCGATGTCCACCAACTCTTATAGGATTACCTGATCTGTCTGAATGGCCGCCAGAGTTGAGTCTAACAGTGCTGAAGAACCTGAACGCCACGGATCTATGTCTGGCCGCCTGCGTGTGGACAGAGTTGGCCACCGATGAGGTGTTGTGGCACTCATTGTCTTGAAGTCAGTAATTCATTGGCTTTTGGTTTGCAATCATTTGTGACAATGATTTCAATTAGCGTTTAATTATTTGCAATCAATTATACACTCAATTGGTCTGTGAATTAGTGATGCAATACTATTGTCACCGTTGGATGTGATGTGAAGGACAGCCACACGCGAAGACATCACCACTGAAGACACGATGGGACAGATCCTGAAGCTAATGGCCGATCAATTGGTGTATTTTGACTACAATTACGTTAATTATAATGATTTGAATCACAATTTCAATCATAACTACAATAATAACAGTAATAATCAGAAAATGCATAGAAATGCAAATGATTTGAACGAAACCAATGGTAAGCGTTGTCTGTCTTTAAACTCACCATTAATTGTCATTTTAATTGATCCGTTGATCCGATTGGGTGGCCATCGATGTTCGCCAACTCTTATAGGATTACCCGATTTGTCTGAATGGCCGCCAGAGTTGAGTCTAACAGTGCTGAAGAACCTGAACGCCACGGATCTATGTCTGGCCGCCTGCGTGTGGACAGAGTTGGCCACCGATGAGGTGTTGTGGCACTCATTGTCTTGTTCTCAATGGGGATACGTATCGATATATCTGAAGCCAAAAATGGACAACTTTTCCTACCATAAGATGTATCTGCAGTTAGACGAGGGAAGCGTTACCTTCAACGCCGACTCTCAGATGGTATGTGTGCTCACAATTGTCACCACTAATTGGTCTCCAATTGTGTCTATAGTTATGATAATTAGTTGATTTTCTGTTTGCGTTGTTCGGGAATCAGGGAATGGATTACTTCTTCAAACACGAACTGCTGGACAACAGGCCGTCAGAGATCGCGAAGTTCTTTCATTTGGCGAAACCGCTGGACAAACGACAGATGCGGTTATATCTAAACAAAAGGCCGGAAATACTGGATATACTGATTAATATGCAGGACTTCGAGAACCAGTTCCTGCCGCAGGCGTTGCGCCGCTTCTTCGCCGTCCTTCAGGCGCCCGACAAACGCGACCATTACTTGCATCTAATGGTCGACAAGTTTTCGCACCGCTTCTGCAAATGCAATCCCTCGCTCGGCCTCAACGCCGACATGATTTACGTGCTGTCCTTCTCGTTGATCATGTTGTCCGTCGACCTCTCGAGTCCGCACATCAAGAACAAGATGTCTAAACGCGAGTTCATTCGCAACGTTAGACACGCCATACATAAGATGGACGACGAGCTGTACGGACACCTCTACGACGATATCTATCTTAAGGGTCACATCGCTGTCAACACCAAAACCTGACCGCTCTCTCGGCTCTCTCTATGTGACCAGTAGTTGGCGGCCGAAGTGATGGCCGCTCTCTAGCGTCCATCTTATCCATTGTTAGCACTATTTTTTAGTGTACTTTTTGTCTGTTTTTAGCAGTGATTTAGTTGTGAGAAACAATGCATTTCATTATATCGCTCATTGAATTTAGACTATAAATTGTTGACTACTTTTAATGAACACACAAAACACACACACTTTGTACTCATTACACACTCATTGCATGATAACAGCGAATCAATACAACACCACTTAATTGTAATAATAGATTATGTGATCATTTAATTTGCAATCCATTTTAATGTTGTTATATATTTCTAGTCATTAATCAAATGTATTCATATAGTTTTTAGTATCATTTGTTTTGTTTGTTT